TCCAATGCGAAAGTGGTGAACGGCAATAAGATTTCGTAGTCAGCCTAGCGAGGGGCAGAGGGCGACCGTGGCTCACTCTCTGGCCCCTTATTGTGCCCTATCAAGACCATTTCCGACCTCATTCATGCAGAAATGGTATCAGAGGGGGCGTCGAATTCAAACCATGTGCAAATCTCCTAAACCAATTTTTCGTGAACAGTGCCTTTAAGGACATTCTCATTTGAATATTTTGATGAGAAATTATCATTGCCCTTAAAAAAAATAATGGGTCACTCAAGCGACCCGGCTTTGTCCAAGGAATGAGTATAGCTTTGCGTATGTCAAGCAATCTAAAGCTTTTCAAATATAATAGAGATTGATCCCAAATTTTTATAGGTTTTGAAGGGAACACCTGAAGAATACATGACTAGAATTATCCTGTACATTGACACTCTCGAATACGCGTCCGTACCTGACTATGACCACATTGCAGCGCTACTCGAAGCAGCTATGGAGGTGAAGACTTTGAAAAATTGTTTCTGAATCCTCATTTAACAGTATCAAGTTGCAGGCCTATGACTTGAAGTATGCTGATCCACCAGATTGGGATCTTATGGTTGCGTATTTGGGACCACGATATGAAAAAGATCCTCACTATACCTTGAAAAGTTAAGCATGCCAAAAACTAATATTAAGAGCACAAAAAGATTGCTTAAAACAGTTACATTTTATAACTTTCACAAATGCTACACTTAAAGAAATCAAAAAAAAAATTGACGATGCAATTTCACTCTGCTCAGTTGAATAAACCTTTATGTATTGAAAAATCGGTTATCATCCCCTCCAAAATCTAAAACCTTGCTCCCACCGGAACGCAGCCTTCTCCATTCTTCCGTGAACTGAATCCAACAAGAGCCGATTGCAGTTGTGGAATATTTTTAACCAACTATTCTGTTAAGATAAGGGTCTGTCATACTAATTGAATCAGACATAGTGTCAAACAACAAGTTTGGATTCAGCAATACTTAGCCATTCTTAATCTTTGTTACTCGTGTTGTTTTCAGATAGTGAAAAAAGTCGAACCTTTCTTTATGGTTTAACATTTGCCATTATTATGCAGCGTAGGCTAGAATTATGCTGACATGGACAGTTATATTATCAAACGTAGACCATTGTCAAAACAAAGTACCTCCAAAAAAGGATCTATCACGATTCTCTCGTTACATTAGATTTGTTTAGTACATTGTGTACAACAGGGGTACCAAAGTTACAAAAAATTGCCAAAAGGAACTTTTGAAGCAGATATAAATTCCACTTCATACTTTATTAATTAGTTTTGCATAAATAAGAGTGTAAGACTTCTTATATATTCAAATTGAAGGGGTAATTCAATGCCACTTGCAATCGCTTGCATGCAAGAGGCTGAAGAGCAGATTATCACGCAGAAGCAGAATCAGAAAAAACTGATAAGCTAAAGCTTTATCTTCACCTATCGTATACAGAAATACCACGTTTTTCCCTATCTGATTATACATTAAAGAGTCAAAAAAGTCAGAAGGTTGTTCACTCACTCAAGTGAAAACGCGCATCCCCACCCGTTTCCAGTAGTGATACGGGTTTTTTTCGTCGGAACCAAATTCGGGAAATTTGTGCAATCATAAAGCATACTGATGGGCGTACTGAAACATTAATCGAGTCCGCTTTTTAAAACAGTCCTCGTCCTTCAAGAAAACCGATGCTTCAGCACGCAGAGCCAAGTTCATTCAATAGTGGTGCCGACGCCACTGTTCTGCTTGACTTCAGCAGCAAAGAGGAATGACTACCCTGCTCTCCACATCTTAACACGCTTGATCTCTTTTTATTTATTTATTTATTTATTTAATTTATTTATTTAAATTACACTCATAAGAGTGTGCCCGGGTATGGCAGAGAGCGGAAAGTAACACAACTAGACAAGGAGAAAGCCGGCGTCTTACATATTGGAAGCTCAAGAAAAGAAAAAAAACATAAATAAAAGGCAGAAACAAAACAACTTAGGAAAATCCTAATCAAATCGAGACAGAATGTAGCACCGAATAGGTGGTTAATGGTCAGTGATCCTCACATTACACATGATAAACGACCCAAATAAAGCAGATCTTCAAGCAAATCCTCTGTCACTTGGTGGATACTCTTCCAACCACGAGGGTTACCTGACACGGTCTAATGTTTTATGGTCCTTGATTAGAAGAAAACCTGTCGGGTATACAATCCCAGTTAGGCATCATGACAGCAAAACTTAAGGACGGATGAGAAAAAATGAATAAGGGACACATGCGTGCCGCATGCAAGGAGTTCTAGAGCAGACTCTGGACCCATGATAATAGAAATATTTTGAAACGTGGTTGTGGTTTATTATTGTAGACGATGTAAGCAAACGCGCACATTCATTTCAGTGTTACTTTCAGCTTGAAGGTCTTAAATTCACTGCAGTGAATAAGAGCCATGATTTCTTACGACAAAGTTGTGGTAAATGGCCATCTCGCCACTCCGTTTTCGGAAGGAAACAAGCTACAACTTTGATAGAGGACCCAAAAGGATGAGAGCAGAATAGAAGGAGAGCATTGCAGAGTGCAGTTGGTATTCAAAATGTGTTGGTATATACGCCTATAATTAAAAGTTTCAATCGGTAAGTATACATTGTAAGATTAACTAACCATCACGGCTTTAACTATTAGGCAACCAGAGCACTGAATAAGACTGACAAATGTTTACAAGTGGTAATACCAATATTATCAGATGTCGCTATCAGTGAGAATTCTTTCCCTACGGATATATCATTAGTTGAGATCCCCAGATTATTGGCGGTAAGATAAGTTTTTTTTTCGCAAAAGATATCGGAACAAAGAGAAACCGTTATGCTTCTTCGAGTCACAAACCATACTGGGAAGCGGATATAAATTTCATCTCCCTACCATGTAACGTCTTTGATCTGTCACTATCATAGCATTTACCACTCGCATTAAGTCATCCCATTCCAAAGGTTTGCTGCTAGCAACTATCACTTGTTAACAATTCCTGGCACCAACCGTCTTCAATCCTACAGTCCTCGACCCCGTCACCACACCGAAGCGTCAAGTTCCCATTGTTAAAACAAAGGGCTGGTCTCTTGCTTTTTGTAGCTCATTACCAGCCGTCATTAATTGTTGTCAGTTCTCGTCAACGAGTACCTACGATCCCGTCACATTGTGCATCACCTATCAAAATTCCAAGGTTCCA